TCCCAGTTTTCCAGTTAATTGCAGTTAGTTTCCAGGTATCCTACTCATAAATACCACTTCAACTGACTAAAACCTTACCAATTTGAGGTTCCTACTGATAGATCAGTCTGATACTGGTATATCAATCCCTCTTGATGACCTGCAGAATCTGATTCTAAATCCTTCCAAAGCTAAGTGCTGAGCAAATGCTGTAGGAAGAAACAGTTCCTAAAGACTCAAAGCTCAAATCTAAATCTACCAAGAATAATTAATGCTGTGATTATACAATGAGTCACAAAAAAAGCAACAGTTCACTGTCTTCAATGAGGATATTCCTCCCTGTCTTACCTTTGCTCCCTGTCAGAAATGTCACTGTTTATCAGTGCAGTAGTGACTTGTTGCAGCATTTCTAAGACTTCATCACATCCTGTCAGAATTTGGGTGGCAAGAGACAAAATGCTGGTCTTCAGCTCCTAGGTACAAAAGAGAGGGACAGTCCTTAGAGAACAGCCCAGCACAGGACAGGAGAACAAAAGGATGGATTTCCAAACAAGAAGAATGGGAATGTGACCTGGCAGGCCTGCAGCAGGAGAGCAGCCACCACTGCAGGTGGGGTAATGCTAAGGCCCCAAGTGCTGGCAGAAACTAGGTGCATGTTTTACAGGATGCACATCCAGTTTCTAGTGGGAAGGACTCCCCAAGTCCAGCACAGCTGAGAGCTGTTAGCCAGCCAAGGTACAGCATTGGTGACACAATGTCCTAGCAGGTATGAGGAGCACTGTGGAGAGAGAAACTGAACAATGAAAACGTGGGTGAACAGTGAGACAAGAACATACTACAATATTCAGCATTTACTCAGTGAGCCTCAACAAATAACTTCCAAGTGCAGCAGGTTACAAGCACACAAAGCCTCAGAGAGCAGCAGACAAAACCAGCTCAGCAAACAACATCAGGAACTCAGGAGTCAACCCCACTGGAGAGGAATTCTAGCACAAACTACTGTAAGACATCCTGCAGGCCAGGCCAGAGTGGCTGCTGGGAGTTTGTTCCAGACTATTCCAGCAGTAACAGGAAATAACACCATTTTCATACACCTTATCCCAACAAAACCCTGTCCTCAGGCTTTGTCCTCTAACAGTTTCCTTCCCACAAGCTTTACCCACACTACTGCAGACAACACATCCAGGTGGCTCTACACAAGCTTTGGAAGGTAAAACTGCAGCAAAGCAGAAGCCAAATGAGAAAATCCTTTACTATTTAAGCCTGAAAAACAGTTTTTCAAGAACCACCTGAGTGATTTGGAGAGGAGAACTGTGGAGGGTAATGAGCCCTGAAAGGATTTCTGGCACATGAATTTTCTTACTAGCACACATTAATTTATTACATTTTAAACCTTGTTATACGTCTACTGAGGAGGAAGTGTGTGCTCTCCCTGCCAGTACAGAACCCAAGCTGGAACACTCAGCACAGAACAGACTTTACTACAACAGACAGTTTTTCCTCCAGCTGCTTTGACAACAGCAAGAGGAAGAGGTGAGAGCACCAGAGCAGAATGCAGGGCACAAACAAGGTGTCACAGGAACACTGACTGGAGAGCCATACTAGAATAAAACTTGGTGTTTACCTGTACCTTCAATGTCTCTCCCTGCAAGGAGCTGTCACTGTCATCACTGTCGTCAGGTTTGATCAAGACAGTGTTACTGAGGAGATGGTTCTGCACAGCCATCAGGTACCGCAGGCAGGACGAGGCAGCCTTGAACACAAACAAGCACATCTGACATGACCTGAGCCCTCTACCCACCCCTTGGCAATCCTTGGGAATTGGAAAGAGGAGAAAAGGGTGAGGAACAAGACAAGCAAAAGCCAAGTATCATTTCCCTTGAGCTCAACTTTTGTTTACTAATTTAAAGCTTGTTGATAGACACTTAAGGTAAGGAACTGGTTGCAAAGCACTGAAGGGTGTGAAGTAACTCTCAAACAGAGGCAGCATCATTTGATTCAAGTATGGAACATGGCAGCGATATTCAAGTACTCTGAGCATGGATTCTTAAAAGACAATGCCACCAGACATTGCTGGAGGTGAGAGTTCCATGCTCCTTTCCTTCTCCTGCAGCACAGGCCATGACCTCCTGTCCCCTCCCTGTGCTCCCATGGGAGCTCACCTGCCTGGGATCAGGGAGCTGAACCTGCTGGAAACATCTACACATACTCTTACCATCAAATGCCAATTTCCATTTCTGTCTGGGACTGATAACCCTTTCTGCCTGTGAGTCACTAGACACAACTGCACAAAGAGTTGGGTTTGGTTTTTAAGCTCCTCTGATGCTTTGAGATGTAAAAACTTCCCTTAAACTGAAACTGGGAAATATATCCACATATAAACCTGTTCCTGTATTACTGGGTGATTTACTTTGCTGCAAGAAACTGTTCCTTCCTTCCCTGCACAGCAGAAACAAAAGACATTCCTTTCCTGTGCTTGTTAAAACACACACAACTAGAAAGGTTCCACCTCCACACACTCAGTGAAGGGGATGGATTTC